CCTCGGAACCCCCACAATTCCTTCCATCAGGCCCAGCCCACCTCTCTTGCAGAGTCGGCCCCACTCTCAAGTCAGATTTCCCCTCGTGACCTCATGGGTCTTTCTCTCCTGTCTTTCCTCTCCTTGGAAATCTTTCTAAGTCCCCCAATGAAACCCCCAGGACAGTGAGTGTTAGTAACCTAAAGGTTATAACAGTTTGGAATAGATCTGGGTTATAAGTGTTTGGACCTGCCACTACCTGGCTGTCTGCACTTGAACACATGTCTCCACCCTCTGGCCCTCAACTGACCAGCTGGCTATGACACAGGCTGAACCTCAGGCAGTGTGAGGCTCAGGCCTGTCAGGAAGCAACAGGTGGTTCCCTCTGCGCTCCTGAAACTCTTACAAGTCTCCCACAACACTTAACACTTAGCTGCTCTATTGTTTTTTACTGCTCTATGTGCTTTGTTTTCCCAGCTGGACCATAAATTTCCCTAAGACATGTACATTATTATGTGCCTTTCTGGTTTCAGATACTGTATTATAGGAAATGCAGAAAATCTATTACACTCCAATAAAGAAAAGGAAACCTCCCATAATCCTCTTGAGACAACCTCTGAAAACAATTGGCTTACTCCCTTTAGCTACTATGCATATAGGCTTTCTTCTTAAAAAAATAAAGATCGTATTGCATATGCATTTTTCTATCTCAATTTCTTTATGCAACACAACACGGTGGACATTTCCTGACATCAGAAACTCTTCAAAAACATGTTTGCTTGTTTTTCAATGTCTGCATAACCCTGAAGCTTCAGGATCACGGTCATTTATTCAATCAAGAATAACTTGAAGGGAGGTCATGTTCAAGTCCTCAAATGCTGAGACCTGCACCAACAAGCTTGGAGCTAGAAATTTAACAACCACTCAATTACTTTCCTTCTGAGCTGATTAAAAGCATTCTTTCTCTCCCCTTCTCCTAAGAAACCCCATTTCCTGTGGACAGGATCTACAGTGAAATATGGAACTGGCTATGACACAAGAGCTAGTATGATGGATTGACCAGCAGAGGTGTGGGAGAGAACCCAGGACCTGGTGCCAGCTCCATCAGCCTAGGGAACACCTGCAGCCCCCATCACCCTAGCCCAACCCCTCCAAATCAAAGGTCCTTTCTGTATCGGCAAGAGAGAGGGTGGCTAAAAGTTCAAGGTGCAATGCTTGCCTGCCTAACTCAGACATCACATCATAGGAGAAACAGCTATGGGGAAACAGATATTGAGTTCAGAAAAGACAGGACCCATGGGGGCCATGAGAGAGGACTTCAGTTTCCTGAAAGGCTTCAGTGTGTTCTGTGTAGTCCCAACAGGTAAATCTGAGACCAAGGGACAGAAGCCACAGGGTGAGGAATTTTGACTCAACATAAGGGCGGCTCTAAATTGGAGTCCTGGTTTGGTGCTGTAGGAAAGCACTGGACTGCTAACTGAAAGGTTAGTGGTTCAACCCACTAAAGACACTTAACTAAATCAGCCCAGGCAATTCAAAGAATGAATGAGCTCCTGCTGTTTAAGGTAATGAGTCCTTTGTCCCTGAAAAAAACTTGGCAGAGATTATCCAAATGGGATTCTAGCCTAGACAACAAGATATTAAAAAGTCTCTCCCACCCTAAGAGGGAGCTTTGAGATCCAACAAGCTCCTAGCACTGGGTCATAAGGAAATCCCACAGCAGCGCCTTCTCTGTAAAATATCCCAACTTTCCAAATGTTCCTAATGCATTTGGAGCCTGGCTTCCTGGGAGCTACTTGTGCATTTTGTAGAAGTCTCCAGGGCATTTCAGAACCCAGGGAAATGTTCATGGTATATGGAAAACCAAAGTGCATAGGGTTCTCCCATAGCTAATGTGATGTACCATATGCAGAGGACCGTTTAATTTTTGTAACAAAACCTCATCCCATCTCATATGTTTTTTTCTCCTTTTTCCCCAGTTTCTAAAACTTGGCTAGTCTTAGAACCCATATGGCAATTTACATGCAATTACCCAGGGTGGTTTGTATGGCTGCTCAGATCACTGTTGGCATCTGAAGTCTCAACAGAGGTGTAATCACCATTCCTGACCTGGGCCTGGGTGGGGCCCATGTGGCAGGCAGTTCAAATCCACCAGCCACTCTACAAGACAAAGATAAGGTTTTGTACTCCCCAAAAGAGTGACAGGCTCAGAGATCGATACAGGTTCACTATGAGTTGGAGTTGACTCGATGGCAGTGAGGTTGTTGTGTTTTTGTTATTATTTTTTTTTTTGGGGGGTGGGGTGTACTGGTTATCCATAATCAGAAGATTGAACGTCAAGGCTGACTAACTATGCTTCTCAAGAGTTCAGCCTTGAAAATACAGAAGCACAGGGAGCGGGCTAGGGGCATATCTGATATGTGAGCCTATTTGATGGCTGATCTAAGGAATGCACTGGGGGAGGAGTCCATAAACGCTCAGAGCTGTGAGCCATCCTTCCGGCCCACTGGCTGCACTCCTACTTCTGTCCTGGGTTGTCATCCTTCCCCAAGGAACATGCTGAATCAAGGGTTAGGTCACAAGAACCATAAATAGATTTATTTGGATTTTTTAAAAGAAAAATACATTACTATTTTAAACCATGTCTATGAGTAGAAACTGAACTCCCTTAAAACTGGTTGTGGAACTGAACTCCCTTAAAGATAGCTTGCTCCAGAGTTCACTGCCTACCCCAAGATGGAGATGGCACCAGGTTAGGAGAGCTACTCCATCAGAGTCCCTCCTAAAAGCCTCAGGCCAGCTCCCTGGGGGAGACTGCTGGCCTAGGAATACCACGGAGAAACCCCCAGAGACCCACACTGTGCCAATGAAGGCAGGAGATTGAGGTGGGCACGTGCTAGACAGATCTGCTTCAAAGTGGGAAACAAACAAAAACCCCAAACTCATTGTCTTCTAATGGAATCCTACTCATAGAGACCATCTCCCTGTAGGACGGAGTAGAACTGCTCCTTAGGGTTTCCCAGGCTATAACTGCCAGCAGTTTGCCACATTTTTCTCAAGCAGCATAGCTGGTGGGTCTGAAGCATCAACCTTTCTGATAGCAGCTGAGTGCTTTTAAACAGTGAGCCACCAGGGCTCCTTAGAGAGGGAAAGCAACTCAGTGTCAAGTCAGGACAGCATTCCAGGGAGCTGTGAGGAGCACGGTCAGGTTTACCAGAATCACCGCAAACCAAACTCCTGAGACAACACCTGCAAGGAGTAGGTAACTTCAAACATAAACTAAAAACAAAAACAAAATCCAGCTGCTTCGAGTCAATTTCAATTCATGGCAAGCCCATGTGTGCAGAGTAGAACCGTGTTCCCCAGAGGCGGTTCTACTGTGACCTTTCAGAGACAGAACCCAAATCCCTCCCCACTCCATGATGCCTCATGGAAGTTTTGCATCACCAACCTGTTATTTAGTAGTTAAGTGTGTGCCACTCAGGAAGGCTGATGGAAAAGCATGTTGTTGTTACATCAAGTAGGTTCTGATTCATAGTGACCCTATGTAAGATTTCTAAGGAGGGGCTGAACTGCAACCCGTGCAGTTAGCAGCCTAGTGCTTATCCTATAGCACCATGTTGTTGTTGTTAAGTGCTGTTGAGTCAGTTTCTATTCATAGTGACCCTGTGTAGGGTTTCCAAGGAGCAGCTGGTGGGTTCGAACTGCTGACCTTGTGGTTCAAACTGACCTTACAGTCAGTGCTTATCCTACAGCATCACACTAGGACTCCAGCACCATGTTGTTGCTGTTAAGTGCCACTGAGTTGATTCCAACCCATAGCGACCCTGTATAGGGTTTCCAAGGAGCAGCTGGTGAACTTGAACTACTGACACATTGCAGCTCAAATGACTTTGCAGTCTGACGCATTAGCCCACAGCCCCACACCAAGGGTTCCCCTTGGTCCATACCTGTAGATGACCCATCCTACCCCCTGAAATCAGTGCCTGGGTGCACATTCCTACTCTGCAGTTACTGGCAGTGTGACCAGTACCAGCCAGTTAGCCTCTGGCTACCTCATCTGTCTCATCTGGAAAATGGAGATGATAATATTAGCACACATCTCAGGGCTGCTAGGAAAATTAAATGAGTTAATGCATGCAAATCACTAAGAACATGCCTACCTACTACACAGCAAGCCCTAGTAAGAAGTCTACACTATGTTAGCTTCCTCCTTGCTATATTAAGTATCTTCTCCAGGCAGTTCTGGGATGCCAGGCTTCACTCTGAAGCCCGTGAGAGCAATCCATGAGAATGTCACAGGCACAGCTTTCCAGGAAAGGGACCCCTGCTATGAGCTAAGATCTGGACTGGCAGAAGAGCACTGGACTCCTAGCCTAGAGTCCTAGCCGGGTTCCTAGTCCAGGGAGCCAAGGAAGAGATGAGAAGACCCATGAAAGACTCCTTGTGTTGGGAGAAAGAGAACTCTCAGAATTCCATCTCAGAAGCTACCAACCATTCAAACTGCCAACTCAGCCTCTTGGCTGGATGAGCACTGAGGCCATGCATGCACAAAGCTGTGCAGCCACCGTCTCCACCTCAGCATCCTCACGTCAGTGACAACTCGCTTGAGAGCTAAATTGGGGGAAATACAGGAAAATTCTAGAATCTAGTTCAGATGGTGATATGGAGTTAATACAGAGAACCTGGTATCCAGCTTGGAACATGCTGGCCTTGATGCCTCACTGCACAGCACAGGACCTGAAGTCTGAGAGGGAGAACAGAGATGGGCAGAGGTCAATATCCCCTTGGGATGCAGACCAGCACAGAGCTGGGGCAGATTTTGGAAAGGACAAAGTTTGACAAGAAGGCATACAATATGATGCCGATTTCGGGATGTCTAAGTCACTTCCATCAGTTGTTTCCTGGGATACAAGTCTATGTCCTGTTTCCAACTCCAGCAGGGGCAGCAGGGACCATCAGAGAAGCAAGTGTCCACTGAGCAGCACCCAGCCTGAGGAGGTCCACGGGCACTTACTTACCAGGAAGCGGACATCGTCAAAGCCATTCAGTAGCAACTTGCTCTCATACTGCTGCAGCCCAATCGACTCCAACCATTCCCCGACGCTCTGCTCCAGCGTCCGCGAACCTGACGAGAGAGGAATCGGCAGACGCTTGAAAAGGGAAAAACTATTAAGGCGGTAGCAGCGGCACTCAGAGGAAGACAGATGGCATTGCCACATCATAGTCATTACCATAAAGCCAAATTATATACAAGAGACCAGAGAGCAGCAGACACACAGCTCCTCTTCTGTGTACAGGCCAAGGACAGGGTCACCTGGTGCCTCGCACACTTCCCAACCTTGGGCGTTGTTGTCCCACTCACACCCCCTTGGGCTGTGCTGCTCCGGGGCTGTGGCAGTACATGCACAGTCTCTGCCCACAGGTCGGGGGAAGCCAACCCTCAATAGTCTCCAGTCAGTTCCTTGTCAGTGTTCAGGTATTTCTGAAAGTCTGTTCCCCACAGGCACTAGGGAGGCGGGGGAAGCTCCTAAGTGCCCACAAGCCCTGCTGCTCCTCTCCTCCATGCAACTTCTGGAGCCCCAGCACTGCTGCGGGTGAGGGACAAGTTCTGTGACCTTGCAGCACAAACTGGTCAGGAGAGAACACACATCTTCATGCAGCTGAGGGACACAGGCACACAGCGAGGGCTCCAAGAGGGAAGCAGCGGCGGCTGTTCACAGGGACCCAGCACATGCAACGCAAGCAGCACAGGACACGGCAGGGGGAGAAAAGAGACTTTTACTTGTTTTCCCCCAGCAGTCCCGGAATAAGCAAACCATGGCCACAGCCCTTGGTGCTCAGAGGCTCAGGGCAACAAGAGATGAGTGGGCGCATGGGCCAGGGCTCAGGGACCAGGCTCAGGCGTGGCTCTGCTGTGAAGGCAGTATCGCATTCCAACCAGCTGGATGGCCAACAGGGGCCAGGAGCCCAGTCCACAGCTAGATCACAGGAGCTGGTGAGTGGGGCAGCTCCTGGACCAGCACACAGTCTGAAAGGTTTCCTTCCTTGGCCGAGCTGTTCTTCAGGGGTTGGGCATTCATTGTCTTCTGTTCCTTGTGACTTGCCCGTCAGTTCCAGAGGAAAGTAGGCAAGTAGATTCAGTTCTTGGCTAAAGAAGACTAAATCCCAACCAGATGAAAGAAAGAAAAATGAAGCAGTCCTGTCAGTCGAGCTGTGGTAATTTAAGTCTATTCACGTTCTGCTCCGTCCTCTCTTTGGCTGAGTAATAAAGGTGACAACTGTCTTCTTCCTGGGATCTCCAGATCTTGGCCGGTCTCCTCTAACGACAAGCAAGGAAGGGAGACATAGATGTGCTGTACTCCTCAGTTCAGACAGGGTGGGGAGATTTGGGTGGTACAGGGGGGAAAAAGTTCAGCCTTTCTTGGCAAACCTTGGATGTTCTGAGCTGAACACCTTAGCCCCCACCTGCCTCTCAGTTTGGCAGCCTCTTCTGTTTCTCATGGGCAAGAACAGATAAAAGACAGAAAAAAGAGAAAGGGAGGAGAAGAGGTGTAAGAAAGGGAAAAAGAAGATCCAACTATAAAAGCATCACCTCCAATGAACTCTTGACAGGATGAAAAGTCGTTCTGTCATTCCTGGACACTTTGGGCCCCTTGGAGCAGGACAATGCCAACTAGCTTGGTTATTTAAGAGGGCCTGGTGACCAGCAATTCCAGCTCCAGCCCCTCCTCTGTCCTCTGCAGAACAGATGGTGGTCAGGGGATGGGGCACAGCCAACGTACACTGCAGCAGCACTCTGAGGCGTAGAGTCCGGGATACCAGGAACCTAGTCGGCAGGCTTTTGTATGCCCACTGTGTCAAGGGTCCCCTGCTGCTGATTCATTCCCATTTGTAATCATCCAGTCGGGCAGCTGTGGTTCCGTCTGCCGCCAGCGGATGTATGCTCTCCCAGATCCGCAGCAGAATGCTTTGTCTAAAGGATCCTGGGCTCCTTGCTGCCTGCTGTCGGCTCCACAGTTCTTGCTCACTCTTATAATGCCTGGCCCTCCCCTTCCCTCTCCCCGCCCTCCTCCCTTCCAGGCTCATGAAAACGCATCAGGGATCGGACATTAGAGGAGAAGCTGCGGTGGCAGTGGCGGCACCTAATGCTGCTAAAGGAGAGAGAGCCAGAGCAGCAGTAGCATCAAAGCAAAATGACAGATTTCTCAAGATTTGATGTTGGCTGATACAAACACATATGAACAACAGAGATGATGAAACTTTATCTATAGCTTAAGGCTGGAAAAAGTTCTAAACTAAATGATCAAGAACAACAGAGGGAGATATTCCTATAGCTTTGGACAACAGGCTAGGAGAGAAGACAGAATGACCCTGGCCCCTGAGTGTACAGCCAACAGGTAAGTGACCCCCACTTGCCACTTTCAAAATTTCTGTGCCTCTCTGTCAAGAAGAATAAGCCACAACATATTTACAAAAACAACCTACAAAATATGCTGTATCAAAAACGTTCAGGAACAGAATTCCCTTTGGATCTGTTAAGAGCCCAGTGGACAAACAGCTCCCTTAGAGCAGCCGCTCCCAAACTGGAGGAGGAGCACACTGGAGGGGAAGGGGCAAGAACAAGGGGAAGCCAGGATCAAATCCAAATACAGCTGCAGAGAGACAAAAATTGTAATTTTTGTACACAGATATAGATCCAGGGATTCTATCCTACTCTCTAAATATGAGGGCATTCACATGCAGTCCATAAAGCTGGCAAAGAAAGAGGAGAATTACCCGCTAAAGTATCCTTCAGTCAATAGCACGCACCAGCTAAAACAGGCTGGCTTTAGCAAAAGAATGCCAAATGACTGTCTTCTGCTCACAGACACTGGGCTTTGTTGAAAGAAGTCGGAGTGGCCAGCCAGTGGGAAGGCTTTCACATACTGAACCTGTGTCTTTTGGGATTCTTATAATTGGCTCCAATGATGGCAGCACAGGGATATGTGTGCCCCCAAACAGGACCGAAACGCAAGTATTATGGTCTTGCCCTTCAGGAGATGACCCCTACAAAACCAATCCCAACTGAGGCATTCAGTGCTTAGTGAAGGGCTGCAAGCTGGAGGACCTGCTCCTTCTGTCAGCTCAGGTCTCTTCTCCTAATTCAAAAACCCAAGAACAAGCTGAACCCTGATACTGACCACTCAAACTCACATCATTCTGCTGTGGTCTGAGCTGGAGGTTGATGCTCCCTGAGGTTGTGGGGAAAGCACCCCCCTGACCAGCATGTAGTGAACTGAAAGACTTGAACCCACCACTCCATGGTTCAAGGCCCAGTAGCAGGGCAGACACAGTGGCTGGAACTCTGCAGCCTGGCTGGGCACACCCTCTGCTCAGGTGGCCACCCTAAGTGCCCACTCTTGCTTTGTCTAAGTTGGGGAAGGCAGGATGGCTCAAATCAGTAAGCTCTAAAAGTAGATTGTGGTCTTCACAAATTAAACATAAAGAGAGAATTCTGAAGGCAGTGAGAGAGAATAGTCACATACAATGAGACCCCCAACAAGATTAAATGCCATTTTTCCACAGAAACATTGAAGGCCAGGAGTCAATGAAATGGTATAATTAAAGTGCCAAAAGAAAACAAATGCCAACCAGGAATGCTATACCCAGTAAAACTATCCTTGAAGAATGAGGACGAAATGAAAACATTTCCAGACAAACAGAAGCTGAAAGAGTTCATATCTACCAGACCAATGCTACATAAAACACTAGCGGAAATTCTGTAGATTGAAGGGAAAAAAACCCTAGAAAGTACTTCAAAGCTATACACAAAAAGAAAGATCCCTAAAAAAGAAAAATGCTTGGACAAGTATGTCAAAGTGCCGTAGAGCCAGTTCTGACTCATGTTGTTGTTGTGTGCCGTTGAGTCGGTTCCGACTCATAGTGACCCTGAACAGGCTGTAAATCTTTACAGGAGCAGAAAGCCTCATCTTTCTCCAGCAGAACAGCTGGTAGTGTCAAACTGCTGACCTTGCGGTTCGTAGCCCGATTCGTAACCACTACGCTGTGATGCTGCACAGGGTTTCCGAGGAGCAGCTGATGGGTTTGAACTGCAGACTTTGTGGTTTGTAGTCCAGTGCTGATCCTACAGTGCCACACCAGGAGTACATGGACCAGTATGGTGGTGGTCGTGGTGGCGGTGTGCCATGGAGCCAGTTCCGACTCATGGCGACCCTCCATAGGGTTGCCAAGGCTTTAAATCTTCACGGGAGCAGGAAGTCCATCTTTCTCCTACAGCGCAGCTGGTAGTTTCAAACTGTTGACCTTAAGGTTAGCAGCCCTACTAGTAACCACTACACTACCAGAGCTCCTTATGGACGAGTAAAATGAGTAAGTAATAAGGTATTCATGCTTGATAATTCTAAATGTTTTGTCCTTCATACTTTTTAATAACAAATATGAGGGGGCTTAAAAAAATTAGTGGAAAAATGTAATGAAAAGATAATGGAACTTTCTGAAATCCCTTCATATATAAAGGGCAAGGATAAAATTATGTTTTAGGGCACATGAAATACAAACATTCAGCTAGTGATAGCAACAGCTAAGGGAGGAAAAAAATGGTATAGACACAGGATTCTTACATGTCACAAGCTCCAGAAATAGGGGTAGGAAGTTGCATCAAATTAGTACCAATTTATCCTAGAATGTTATAAATACAAGCTCTTAAATATAATACCCAGGGCAACCACTAAGGGAATAAATATTCAAAATATACACGAAGGAAAAGAGAAGGGAACCAAAAAGGCTCACTACCATAAACCAACAAAACACCAAAGAGAGCAGTACTAGAGGACAAAGACATAGGTAGTGTAGGACTCACCAAAATAGGTAACAAAATGGCAGAAGTTATTTATCAGTAATTCAGTGAATACAAATGGGCTAAATGCTCTAATCAAAAGGCAGAAAGAGAGCAGAATAGGCTAAAAAGAAAACAGCAACAAAAAACACAACCAATTATATACTGTTTACAACACACATACCTTAAGCCCAAGGACGCAATTAGGTTGAAAATGAAAAGATAAAAAAAAATATTACATGTTTATAATAACCAAATGAAAACTGGGGTGGCAATTAATATCACACAAAGAAGACTTTAAATCTCTCAAAAGAGATAAAGTTAGACATTACACAGTAATTTGTTGTTGTTAAGTGTTGTCAAGTGAATTTTGACTCACAGTGACTC